TTTAAAAAAATAAATTGTTACTAGAAGAATGAAGTTAATTAACTTAACATAATTCAGTAAGCATTTGCTGTTATTCAAAACAGTTTTTATAATTTTTTTCTAAAATTATAATATAGATTACTGTCAACAATTTAATGACACATACATGTACTTCCCAGTTATCAAAACAGTATACAAGAAAAACATTCTGTTAAGTCCAGATAACAATGATTTTTCGTTGCCTTGTCAACAATCGTTATGGTGACAGTACATCTAATCTTATTGGGAGATATCTGATCATCAATGCAAACAGAGTTATTCAGAGTTACAGTACAGAAGGTTTACCTTAAGGTTATATCAACACAATTAAAACACTTTATATACTGCCATGTCTACAGATAAAACTCATCAATAAAGCTAACACTTTGCAGTAAAACCATGTCATTTTATGGATAACCCACCGTAGATAGTTTTTGATAATCAATAGTATATACAATTAAGGGTCAATCAATCCTTCCACAGCATATATCGATTACATATAAATTTCCATGTACATTTACATGCCTACACATTCTGTTATAATGCAGCCATGTGTCTTTATTCCCAAGCGCTACACATAAAACCGTTTGCAGCCTAGATTCACTCAAGGTTTCACATACCGGTAACTTGCACAATTAAAATTTTCAGTTTTCCAATTCATGCTGGATGCCAGAGCGACGTCGATTTAAAACACATAAGAGTCTCCATGGAAACAAGCATGAATATACATTTTTATGTGTAATTAGTCTGATATGAAACCTACACTGTATTTGGGTAAATCAACTTTGAACAAAATTGATGAGGCATGTCGACGAAAGGGTTAAGAACGCATAAAAATAAAATAGCCATCAGTTGGGCATTTTTATTAATTACAAAACACTGCCTGATAGAACACACCTTCCTTGTTTAGCGCCTTCTAGTGGCAAAGCAGGTATGAGTAAAAGGAAAGCTGCTCAATATATTTTATTGTAGATTTTATCTACTTATACTTTAGATATATTTACATATTTTCATTCAGTATTGCAGGACCCACTTCACCTCAATTTATTTTCACCATTAACAAATTTTGAAAGTGGTTTACACTTAGTCATTGTCCAATAAAATATTATTGTTTTCGAGTCATACATTCTAAACAAACGCGACCAATGGATGTCCCCTTGTCACCATGACAACCACACGTAGTATACTCCAAACTCTATCAACAGCATATTACTCCATATGAGTGTCAAAAATTTAATCAATTTTGGTTATAAATTTCTGTTTTACCCGGCATCTACAATCCTGCTTGTGCAGGTGTTTATTTCTCATACAAACTAACTGTAATTGAAGATAGTCCCATGGCTAGTATGAACAAACATACATTACATCTAATTATTCTTCTGGTCATTAGTCAATGATTGTACTTTATCTGTTTGTAGGACGACCTTCACATACCTTCAGTATGTTTAAAACCAATTATATTTAAATCAAATATATATATGCAAATATAAACATTAACAGGTTATTAGGTGGGCAGGTATCAGTTTTTTTTTGCTTTTTAAATTTTTATTTTACTGTGAAACACTTTATTTTCGCTTGGAATTGATTTTCGCTATCGCTGAAGGAATGATTCAGTGAAAATAAAGTCCAGTGAATATACCTTTTTTCCTATATTATACATTCAACTCATTAAAAATCAGTGAAAATAAATTCCATGATACAAAACACTCAAAAAATCTTTTCAGTAAAAATTAAGTATTTTACAGTAGTTTTCTTTTCCCTTTTAACAGAATATTTTTATCATAATAATGCATTTAATTACTGATTAAAGACAGAATGACTACCAATTGTCACTTATATTGTAATTATTGTTGATTTCCTATTGTCATGTTAAAGTCATTCACTACATGTAGGGACGAAATGAACACAATCATTTCTATGGGTAGAACATTGCTTATTAATAACTGTAGTTTAAAAATTGCTATCATTAAATAAAATACTCAGAAATTCTCAAAATCCAGCAAAATTAAGGATGCAGGTTTGTGTAATGTGCAAAATTTGGAAATAAACATGTATAGTCACTGAATTAACTTTTCTACAAAATAAACTTGAAAATTTATCTTAAAAAGCTTGTTTATGTCTCAAAATTTTGTTTGGTGACCTATGCTAAAAAATGTATGTATATAAAAATGTATAGTGTCATGAGGCCTTTCATACAATATGCAAGATCCTACAACAGGAAATTACCTTGTATATGTATTGTTGCTGCATGTGATACACATTGTAATTTCATAAACAATATTCATTTAAATTACATATTTTTTATAATAATCATACTTTAGAATCCATTATATTATTTTCAAAATCTCTTTCCCAACATCTAATCTGATTACACAACATTCCTTGCAAATTCGTCAGCCATACAGAAGTGATTTCACAGACAACTATTTATTTGTGATATGGCTTATCCTCAAAGCAAGCTCATTGATGAAAAAAAAGAGCAGTTCAGCAGGAATTCATTCGATCAGGAAAGTTGGCAAATTCAATAAATGCATGTATTATCAGGTCAACAACCTCAGTCGACAAACGAACTCCAATTTGTGATATAAAGAGACTATTTTATAGTGAGTACCTTTTTTTGGGGGCCAATCTATCGCAATTTTCAATTCAGAAATTTCTTCAACCTTTGATTGTATACAATCCAACAAGTTTTGAAAGGACAAATGAATAATTGATTATTCAAATGAAAAAAAAGTTTCTGTGTGTGCCGTAATTTTATGAAAAATGCCAGTGAATTAACACCCATGGGTACTATAAATGGACACTTAAATAATTGATTTATTTTAGAGTTTCTATGAATGGTAAATATAGAATTTCTCAAATAAAATAAGTCAGATGTAATTATAGATCTATTAGTCAATGCTTAAAATAGACACAAATCACCTTCTTTTGATCACCGTGGCAACAACTGTACACATACACATACTGTGTAGACATGATGTGACTATATTGTTAGATACCTTTATGCAGTCACAATGTAAGGGATATTTTATTCAACACAAAAGTAAAGGGGTTTACAGTTTTATAAATGTGAGGGGGTGAGGAGGGGTTGTAGTGGATGATATCTCAAAATTTTGTTTGGTGACATGGGATAAAAATGATATGAAATTTAACATTATAAAATCATTTAAAAAAATGATATATAATTTAATGAGTTGCCAAGATGATACAGGTTTTCCATTATTCTTGGAGTGGACATCCGGGCATTTTCACCACCTGGCAACCATCAGCAGTGAAAACAAAAGCCAAAACTCTCAAAAACAGTACTTTGGGCTAGTTTTGAGACTGTCCTGAACAGTGTAACAAAACTACCTCTACATGTGCAACATGTATAAACTTGGTTGCTCAGGTTTGAATTTGTGTTGTTTTCTTGACTTCAGCTTTTTTTTTTTTTACAACAAGAGTTCTCACAAAAGAACATGATCAACTGCCGATGGGAAAAACATATGGTAAAAGTAACCTGCATGACTGAGAGATATAATTCTGCAGATATTTAACCCTAATTTGATCACATCAACTACATGTATATTTACTGGGAAATTTGTCAAAAATAAAGCATTGTAATAGAGACTAATAGAAATGTATTTCGGAATCCTTATTTGCAGATATTCACTATTTCAGAAAGATCTAGGCACTTGAACAGCAAGTATATGCATATACATGTAGCTCATCCGTGAATTTATTTTATTGATGGAGAACAAAAAAGCAACATTAGTCAGTAAGTGTTAACTATAACGGCATGTTTAAATTGCAAGTTAATAAATTGTTTTTATTTTTTTTTTTATTTTTT